CAATAAGTAGCGGCCTATGGAATCGAGTGATACCCTATGATTATCTGGCATCTTCGGAGCCCGGCATGGTAGCTATCGACATGATTCATCGGGACTGTAACCTTAGAGGATACACGGAGGAACAACGCGGAGCGATAGCTCAGCTGAAGATCATCGAGTCACCGGCTCAAGTTGGCTGATTGAAAATATCAAATAAACTTCAAGCAGTTATGCTTTGTCACCCCCAGATCAATTGAGATATTCAGAGCATTGTCGATCATCATAAATAGATGTAGTATACATGTTACAGGAAATTAAAGAGGATAAAGTCAAAAGATAAAACAAAACAATATAAAAGTGATTTGCAGACAAAGAGACCACAACTCAGGCTTCTCATCATCTTTAGCCATGCTACTGAAAGACCCCCGAGAAGACTTTCAGTGCAAAGAAATAAAGAGGGGAAAAAAAAGGAAAGATAAAGGTGCGGTTAGGTGGACAAAGAAAAGACAGTTCTCTATATCCTTTTCCACCACTCGGATCTTTTCACTTGCCTGGCCGAAAGAAGTGGACTCTGCACCCACTTAGCTCCAGTAAAGGTCGGTAGCGAGATGAGACTATCCGAATATCTGTCCCGCATGTGAGAATAATAAAACCTCCTAGTTCCTAAATGTGGGTTCGTAGAAACTAATGGGCTTGGTTCTAGGTTGGTGCGGTGGGCCGGTATTCCTTCTGGCTTCGGTATGCTGTATTTAGCAACTGCACAAGATGCGATTTCGAGTTGTTTATGCTGGTGAGTGTCTGTGAACGAAAATTGCGGAGTACGTAGTCAAGTCACTCAGCAGAGGGGAGTAGGTTAAGCTGTACCCATATTCATACTCGCCATCCGCCCCTAAGACCTCACAATTCAGCCAGCCACGTTCAGCAAAAGGTATTCACGATGCCCTCTTCGCCTCCCCAGAGCTACCGCGAAGGCAGTTATCATATGTTCCGTCAAGGGACGTTGATCGGATCGAAGCCAGGGCTAGTTGGATAAGCTTTTGCCCGAATATGGAAGAAAATTGGCACTCAACAAACCACCTCATAATGAAGCGGCTCCGGAGGTTTCCCAGCAAGATTTAGGTTTCCATCCCTTCACCTATTACCAACTTAGTCTCGGCATCATCCGCAAGAGAAAGAGATATCTCGGGGCAGTTCGTGCTGGTTAAATCAAGCCCTGGGTATTGGTGTGCGTAAGGATAGCACATAACATGTAGACGACAACTTCTTCGCGTTCTCAGATCACCCTGGTAGTGATCCGGATATCTCTCCCATAGATGCCACTTCGCCGACTTATTGGTTCCGCCGCTACTTTGTGTGTACCTGGATTGCCGGTAGAGATGTGACTGTGCCTGTATACCACAACGTGTTATTAGAATAGGAGATGAAGATGGCTTCGCAGCTACCAGAGAGGTCAAGGCTGTAACTATAATATATTTCCCTGCAATCTTGCCCTTCTCTTTCCAGATATGCCGGCGAGGATTAGTAACGTCATTGGAGTTGCGCACCTACAGCTTCGCGCTGGCAGTGAAGTTGGCCATATGTGGGTCTGTGACCTTTGCCAGAGAAATATCACCAGGAGAGAATTGTTCTTAGTCACGCTCTTGTATATTGAGTAAGTAAACTCCATGGAAGCCTTCCAGAGCTAGAGGTGCAGTTGTACTGGTGGCCGAGCATGCTGAGAAATGCACAGAGGAGTGAGACCAAAAATACGCTGACAGCTCTATGACTTATCTTGCTCTTAAGTGGAAAGGGTGACTCAAAACTCATAATTCCCCAATGTGCTAAGGGCATTCATAATAGTTGACCCACGCAATCAGGAGATGGTACTTCCAGAGCTGAAAAACTCTGCATGCTACAAGTCGAGATACATTGATGCGAAAGTGCGCTCAGTCCATACCTACATGTAGTATCGAACCTGTTCTGTTACACAACCGGGCCACTTTAATTACGTTTCGTATACACTGTGCATATCTACATACGTATACAAAGTACCTCTAAGTTTGAGCTCAGTTGATGGTGCATATTCAACGACTCAGTTGTGAAAAAGAAACATTCAACAAGACTTTTAAAGATTTCGATGGCTGAATATTGGGCCAATAGGACTGCGGATCCGCCTATTCTTCTACAATAATCTCAGATAAGCGTTGCCTACGGAGTTTTCCATCCACTGCCCCACTCTAAATCCCGTCCCACCTGAAAGTATAACTCACAACCCAAAGAATTGACTAAATTATTTCGCAGAAACGCCCTTTCCCCGGGCCCTCAGCTACCGGAAAACCCCATCCGGATCCCTAGCATCGATGTTGATCGGCGGAGAAGAGCAAATTAGAGAATCATTAGATCAGTGATCATATTTTCTGTTTTAGGCTTCCGGGAAGGCATCGATCTCCGTGCAAGGCTGAGAAGGTATTATTAGCTCATTGATTATCCCTTAGTACTTAGTTCGTCAATGATGACCCCGCGACAATAGGGGAAGTCAGTGTGTATGGGAGATTTATTATTTGATAAGAGAGATAACAAGATCTGTTAGTAAAGCCACACCAGATTTTCTTTTTTTGAAGGTTGGTCAGCATTTTACTGACAGACTGAGGGATAGAGTGCCGAGAGTCGAGAGAAATTGCATAGATCTCTGAGATTTCACTCGGTAAATATATTTGGACCAAACCCAAAATCAATGTTGGCGAGATTTTACAGTAATAATGGCCACATGCATGGGGCCGGAATACACCAATAAACGCAGGATGTTAAAGATGATATACCCAGCTACCTTAACGTCATGGGGCTGAGTAAAGTACAGTAGTAATGGAAGTCATATCAACACAAAGAGATTGGGCTCATCCCTTATATAAAAAATGATCGAGAAAGAATTAATTCTTACTATTAAGTGTGAGCTGAAGTATAAGACGGCCAATCGATATACTGTAATTGTCTTCCTAGGCAGGTAAATTATTGAGCACGTGAGTTTTTCCAGCAGGGGGCAACATACATGTAGTTAACGACTAGCAGGCGCGATATATGGGGAAGAAAGCTGATCTAGTCATCAGCTCATTATTACTATCTCATTAATGTCTGCCGCAGGTATGTACATTTTGGTTCATTACTTTTTATGATTCCCGTGATCTTGTGACTGTTGAATACATTAGTTACAGGCAATTCGCTTTTTACGTATACGTTTTACGTATGTACATAATTGTCAGCGTTACCGTTTTTTGCCGATGTCGATGTAAATGTCGATGTGAAGGTCTACTCTATATGTGAGTAAAAAGCGCACTCGCCGGCCAATCAACTCAGAAAAGCCTCCAAATACGAGCTCATGTTCGAGGACAAACAAGGCTTACTCGCATTAAAATACCATAAGATGCGCAAATGCACGCAACGCAGACTGCAAAATGTATTGAATTAATTCAGTTATAAGTACTAGCTAGCTATAGCTATAGGCGCGCTCATGCTCAGCGGTGCCCTGATTTCAAAAACAGGGGGAGCAATCGGTCTAGATAATACTTCTACTCCCTAAAATATTCTTTCGCGGGGAGATTGGGTCTGCGGGGACTGCGGCTGTCTGAGGAATTGGGGTTTTCAGTATATCCTACAAGTACTATCAATATCTATGTTATATATATATACTTATGTATCTAATGAGTACAAGCACACATATACATAGGCCATATGAAATGTGCGCTTTTAATTAATGATTTGATTGGTATATTTTGCGGTTTCTGTTTCACTTCAGGGGGGTGTACTGTTTCACTTGGTAATTGGCGCTATGAGCGTTTTGCAATCGATTTGCTTGGCCATAGAGTAGATCGACAGTGAATATACTTATAATTATGAGCGTGGTCTTTGCCCGTTAAGAGAGGACTCAGGCCGTGTAGTAGTCTGAGTCCTCCAACTCCTGGGTAAAGTTGAGAGAATAGGCCGCGTAGCGGCTTTGAATAGCTATAGGTATTACCTGGAATTAATTGGCATATTAATGTGATAAATCATACCAAGATTAGTTTAAACACTATTTCCTGATATATATAAATTTATTCTAAGCATATATACATAATTAGAAATCTCGATATCTAGCTCATAGCACCCCGTAGAAGAACGGTTCTCACCTGTACATAAAGTGGCCAGCATATGTTTGAAAGCCTATGATTGACCGAGCTAATTAATTAGTTAGCATACATAAGGCATTGAAGGGATTGAACTTACCTCTACGCCTTTTATATATCAACCAACCATCACTAAATCCCCACATGATCATGATCCTATGAGAGGGTGTCCTAGTACGTGAGTGGTAAATGTGTCTTTTGCTATAGATAGATTTGAGTCAACTGATTCGATGTTTATGTGCGTTGCTTTTGTTAGTGATTTTTGTGGGTATGTAGTACACATCAATATTATATTGTTTTATTATCTTTGTGAGTTACAGTCGAGATTCAGGACACCCCACGCGTTGATATTCTTTTGGCTGTATCTGAGACAAAATCTCCAAACTCCTACCTACATGTACTTCTCCGGCCTGCACTAGTATATTGAATTCACATACGTAAGTACACATTCGACGAGCGAAGAAAATTGAATATATTCATAAGAGTAGACATGTACCAAAATAGTAAGCAAGGAAAGGTTCTCGTTGTGAGAAAATATTACTCGGGTTTTTGGAGTATAATCATGATGTACATGTAGTCATAAGATCATAAGTCATGAAACAACTAGAGTAAAGAGAGATTTTAGTCAACATAAGAGATATGGGTATGGTAGAAAGCACATATAGTATCATGATATACATGTAGTCATAAGGTCGTGAGTCATCATTGAAATAGGAGTAATGGAAAGTTAAACTGAAATAAGAGAAATAAGAGAGATGGGTACTTAGTGTAGAGAAGGATTTAAAAGTATTCAAACACGAAGATTCTTTCTGGAAAGTCACTTTCCAGATCCAGGCAACAAGAGGTGATTCTTAGGATGCTGTTACTCTAGAATTGAGACCGAGCTCATATATCTCGGATATTTCTGATCTTATGCCGCTTGATAGACTTCGAACATCCTCTTCCCAGCCTCCTTGGGCGTTGACCTTTATTGCGAGTTTTGATTTTATCGTTCCTTGGAATATCTTGCAAGTGACAACTTCTCAAATGAGTCAAGAGATTGCTCCTTCTAGTAAACCCACGTTTACCATAGCGACGTAGTTCACAATCCTCAAAACAATCAAGATTCCCATCTTTATTCTTTTTTGCAAGGTATCCCGTCGATAGTAAAGAATAGTCTTTGGGAGAACGAGGGGGCTTTTCGGTTTGTGGTTCTGAATTGACGGGAATGATAGGGCGCTCAGGTTCTGTGCCATGGAGTTGGTTTTGTGGAGGCGCTCTCCCGTCGAGATTAAATTGCATGAACGGCATTTCCAAAAGATGAGGGTCGATGGAGTCTGAATGATGATTTGGAATATTAAACAGGTCTCGAGGGTGCTGCTCAGCTTGGAACGCAGCAGCGGATTCGAAAAACCGGCCCGGTGACGGATGCTTGGTGTGGGATGTACCCGCATCATCGTGGGTGATAAATGTATTGTATTGTTGAAATGATTGGTATGTACTCTGCTGGGCATGAGTATTAGAGAGAAAGGTAGGAGACATGTGAAAGCTCATGATATTTCTCGCACGTTTCGTATATGGAGATAGTAAGTCAAAGACCAAAAGTATGATCTCCTGAAGGATTCTGGCGGGAGCTAGGTGGCGGGATTGTTGGATATGTATCCATGATCAACCGCTCTTTAATCATACTCCTATTCCCCCTCCAACGCTGAAACCCTCTTAATTTTCCGCAACCACATCGCGATCGGTAGAATTAAGCTCAGTAAGTTCACATTTTCAAGATTAGCTGAGTTGCCAAGCCATTTGTAGGTTCCCTACATCATACCCTGCGCGGCAGCTGCGCTGCATGCACGATGTCGAATCCTGGCTGCCAGAGGTGTAGACGATATAGGTCTGAGTGGGGCAAATCTTTTATTGTCATTTTATCTAAATAAAAAGTGGTATGCGATGCCGGAAGCAAAGATCGGGTTGAACCTCCGATCCCTTCGACAAAGGGATTTGGTAAGGGTCGGCGTCCTGACTTAGTTCTCCCCCATGAGTTTCAAGCGTCAACTCCTCTTCATTACCTCAAAGAACGAAAGAGTTTGTTCCATTAATAGGAGCATCCCTTCAGATATTAAACCCGCCCAACTCTTGACCCCGGAGGCCCGGATCTGCTGCAGCGGTACCGCTACCCTCCTATGATATGGTCCTTCGATTAAGCACCCAAGAAACGTGCACTCTTCCAATAATGCATATCACATATACGTACGTTCCTATGATAAGAGAATTTGACCCGGACGGGACTGATCGCGCTGCGGTGCATGGCTGAGGTCTTTGCAAATATCACAAATCTCTCTGGAGAAGCTGTTGCGGAACCCCTGCTGGCAGCTTGAATAGGTTGAGTACCACCCGACACATCCCGCGGCCCCACGCACAGAAATTATAGCTTTTCCTTTCTTATATATCGACTATTCGAGAGGTCCTCGTCACTTTCGCACTTACCCCTAGTAGTCCGACTCTGGTTGGAACAACTATTATTCGATTTGCCTTTGGCTGTCACTGTGACCGTACCCATCTTTGATCCAATTTAAGCATAGGTGTTACGAGGTTGTGGGGCCGTAGTTGTGAGGCCGCAGTACGGGACTTTCTTAAGGATTGTAAGTGGCCGGTGGACGGTATACCTTATAGGGGGACACGTTAGTTTACCAAAACCTTCCAAACAAACACATATATCACCAATACTAATGAAAGAGAGGTTATCCAGGAATTGGTTCAGATAACTGAATTCTTGTTAGCATTAGCAACCACTTCGGCGCGCATAAGGGGGACAGGATCTTGTCGACGGACGAAGGGATAACCATACATATTTATGAAAACCCGATTTACTAGCACCGTAACCCTCCGCGAATTCTACAATCCGAGGTGAGAATTTGAGACCGAGTGAGCCGATAAACAACTCGGTAGGCTAATCAATGAGTTGGAAGCAGTAGCTGGGCAGAGTAGACAATCAGGTTCATTAGATACTCATTGGCCCTTGGAAGTACCTTCAATTACTTCGCTCGGTTGTTGTTATCGCTATGTTCAGATAGACTGCAAAAATCACGGATTCTTGAAGTCTGCAATCTATCTTTCAACAACTTGATAGAGCAAACCCCCCGGTTCATTGGAAAGCGAAGAAGCACTAGTCGTCCTCAGAGTTAGCGATACCTCCAAGGGAAGGGCCTTGATGATTTCTGCACTTACTATCAACATTGTCAATGTATCGTAGGAGACCAACAAATATAACAGCAGTCAAAGGTTGAATTTTATGATGTTGAAGAAGATAAAGTTGTTAGGAAATATTCAGCTCAGATCTGACACTCTTGATGGATAAACTAGAATCTTTGACTGTGAGTGAAAGGGAGACTCGTATATGGTGAGGCTGAGGAACGAAAGCCTCTTTTGAATAAGTCTTGCGAGCGTAGGCAACCACCACCCATCTAGTTATCAATCGCAGATATGCCTTGTTATACTTAAAATCACGATTTACGTACTACGTTTAAAGTGGATAACTCGATGAGCGTTAAGGAAAAGGCGCGAGAAAGCTCAACTGAACCCCTGCCCGGCGATCATTCCCCTAAAGGTGACATTCAGCTGCCTGCACCCTCATTTTAATTTTCACGAGGGCGTTTACAATATCATAAATGGGCGGCGATCCGTGAAGACCTCTGATTGCGACGGTAAAACTGCAGTCTTGCGATTATCATTTTGTGATTCCTCCTAGCAGTTGCACGTTGAGGTGTAATTTACTATGACATCTGTTGTCTCGTAATCACTATATATGGTGCACAATACTAGACGACGCGACTACACTCTCCCGGACGTACATACATCGCCCCCTCAGTCGGACAGTTGATAATTGGTTGAGTATAGATATAACGCGGTTCTTACGAAGTAAACCATCGTGTCTTATTGCTATGTCAACTATTCGGGTGAGAGGGATGTGAGTGGTGAATATCTCTAAGCAAAGTACTTTTTCCAGACCGCAGCCCAAATAGAGAGTTCCCAGCCACCCAGATCCCGATGGGCCGCTCGAAAACAGCTCTTATCCGTCAATCTGACCGTGGCTGGGTGGTTTAAACAGATGATAAACCTTCTAAATATCACGCATAGTTTATCAACTGTGCAAGCTTGTTCTACAGCCAAACCGCCCATCAGCGATCAGCTGTATGATTTTTGATCTAAACGAAACTAAGTTTAGGGGTACAGGAAGTCGGCGCTCTGTTATCTTGTGGGGGTGGGGATCCAGGTCGAGAGGGGGGTCTTCTCTTTTCACATTTGCAAACAAAGAATGTATATGTCCACTCCAAAAATCGACTCGCTGGCGCAAACTCGATTTCTTACCCCTTTCAGTACTAGACACGAGAAAAACCGGCTCGAGTTGGACTCGATCGATCGAGCTTTAGATGGGCTTGAACCCTATAAAACATTACATGTACGTACTGTCGCTCGATATGCCAGATTGCCAAGATCTCCATAATTCCGTACGCGATCGCAGGTATTCACCATTTTTCTGTAAGAAAGACAAACCTCAAGAGAATGTCATGCGCGTACGCGTACGAGACAGCAAAGGATCCGAGTTATTAAGTTCCAATTACATGGTAACTTAAGTGCAACTATATAGCTATTTCTAGCTATAGAAATGCTTGTAAAATAATTAAATGGACGAATTAGGTCTACAAAACGTTATATCCTCTAATAATCTATCCTATGAAGAAGTCTTGATACTAATAAGTCCATTTTTAGGTACCATATATATATATACACTCGAGCTCTTTCCTTCACAATCAGACTAGTCGCTTTAAGCGGCGCCTCGTGTCCGGTATCACAGGTTGGAAGGACAGAATGCTGCGCAGGCGCATATTCTAATCATTCGAGAGTTTGATATTTCTTCTCCGTTGTGGGGCCGTTGAGAGAGATATCCCCTTGCATTGGGCATTCAGTCCAAATCCCAATGTATTACCGAGCATGGTATAGTTAATGTGCTCTGATAAACTCTGTTCATGTTCGTTCTATCATTATAGTGATATGTCTCTCTACAAATCTGGCGTGTGCTAATAAACTTAAAGAGATCTAGAGTGAGCGCTGACAACTTTAAATTTTATTAGAGTACATCAATTATATTAGGTTCGGTAATATATTGGCAGTTGAACTGACCGTCTAAGTGATAAGCTCTTACCCCCCATATATAGAGCACCTTTCACTTCGCTCAGGGTTATAGGAGGTACAATTAATACTGGTCAAAGTTAACAATCTAGGCCTCTCCTGACGAATGGGAATAGAAATGCTTCACCACTGCAGCAATGACAAATAGGACGTTACTATAGTAGTACGAGAAAGTAGCCCTTTTGACTCATGGTATAGAACGAATTGAATATGGGATAATCCGCACCAATATGTGTATCAACTGTATCAATCCAAATGGTCGATAATGAAGGTGCTACAGCACCAAAAACCTGGCTGTTTTAGAGGCTCAAATGCTCCTGTTTAACAGATAATACGGTAGTTTCGCCGAAGTCAAAATAGTACCCATTCAAACACAGTATGGTCCTGTTTCATACTGTTTATATCATGCTCAGCTTGGGCCAGGGTTATTGCGCATTCGTTTTCAACGTCCATCAATATTCATGGAAATAGGTAAGTCAAACTATGAAACTACTGGATGCAAAAGAAGGCCATAGGATCGAATACCGCACTAGTGCTACAATCATAACAATAGTAATTGAGATATCTATGATAGGGTGCTCTGTCCCGCATTTGTTTGTATCCAGTATTACTATAGTGATCCGCCTTATGTGCTTCTCATCTAAAGACTTCAAAACTAGCAGGTTTGCGATATATTATTTTAAACTAACTGTGAATACTTGGTTTCTGAAGATTTAGGGTGTAGAGTGGCCCATACATATATGATACGATAGTGCACATCAATATAATACATGTACCTTATTGGAAGATTTGATTGAACATGTACTAGGAGAGTCGATAGGGACACGTCATGTACTCTATGTAGGACCTCCACCAAAGGCCTGCCGCTAGGACATGAGGTACGAAGCGGGATCGACCCATGCATAGGTCACAGTATTACCACAAGAACATTGGCATGCACGTATATAGAGTCAGATCTAGATCTACAAATGCGGTATTCCGCGCGCCGGCACAACTATAGAATGCATTCCGGTACCGGTGAAAAATGTATTCCCCTACCAGTGGTAATGTTTCTAGAATTTATCATTTATTTCTATCCCATGCATTAGCGTGGCCCGTCCATGAAATGATATTTGATTGAGGTAAAGCAGCGATCGAACTGCGAACTTTATGGCACCGTTAAGTATCAATTCTAAAGCTTGTGTTGTTCATCCAAATTCAAGGTCACATGACGGCGTTCATGCATGCATGAGAGAATTCCGACCTAATGTCTCATGCATCAAGAGCTAGAGGATACCGTAGTCTTTAAATACCAGTAAGGCTTACAGTAACCTCTCCGTCTGAAAACAGCCGGTTTTTTGGTACTGTATTTCATTCGTTCCGCGCGCTAGAATCCTCTACACATTTGTGCCCATCAAGTGAACAATATTCTGTGCGACATTGCTCGTTACAACAATTAAGTAGGCGAACATAGAGATACATGTAGTAACCACAAAATATCAAACTAACACTCTCGAAATGGCGTTTGAGCCGTAGGTACTATCACTACCGAGGAATCTATATCTAATATTATTTTGCTCTTTACTCTTGGGGTTGTGGAGAAACAAGTATCTGAAGTTGCACTTCTATATAAATTTTCGCTTACCTGTGGTAACCCGCATGCAATACTTCTAACTGGATCAACTGAAAGGGCATTAACATGTAGCTATTAACGATCGAAGAACTCAAGGCATTATATAGAGGAAACATTGCAGCCCCATACTGAGAAATGATGAAGGACTAAGGATCCTACAGAAAACACTGAGATATTCATATGCAGAAAATGACACCACACGATAATATTCTTCTTGAACAGCTCGGAAACAAACATTCCTAGCCCTAAGAGTTGTATGAAATCTGCCATAATGTAATAGGACCATGAGTACTAATTTTAAACAAATGTTTCGGAGTATGCTCCGGTCCTCGACTGGGCCCCATAGAACAGGGGTTCGTTGTCAATTCCCAAGCATGTACTAGAGCTCATCAAAGTTTTCGATCTAGTACCCCATTACTGAAGCTTTCCGCCGGAAGATCAAGCAAGTGTTTCAGTTCATTTAGATATTAAATCACAGTCTATCACTCGGTTTCCTCGAACCTGTTCTGTCCCAGAAATCTTTATCTCTAGTTCAGCTCATTAACGCAAAATCTGAGAAAATCCACTACGATGCAGCAGAGATAAACACAACTCGAGGTGTGACTAGGCCTTGGTGGCGTCTCGATCGTGTCGTGGAGAACACCCCATGGGGGTGATGATGATTGATATCGATGTGCTTCCAAGTCGTTTGCCAACTCTGGAGTACTGTGGGCCACACAAAATAGCCACGTACAGGTCCTGAATACAGATGAGGCGACGTGGCCACATGATCGTCAGGCGGGCACCTCTAGCTACATATTGCCAAGATCTGCTCTAGCCTACACCCACTACCAGCTCTCACCCATCCCAGTTCTTCTCCATCTTCCCTGGCCCACGTCACTTCCTACCCCGACAGACGGCCTGATAGCTACCTCATACCTGTGGCACTACCAATCATCCAGGAAAACACTTCCATTATCAACATACGTATACATCAATATCGGTATCATATTATATTGGTCTCGTCCCTTGATCGCAATCTTCGTTTTTCAGCTGTTCATTCTCATGCAACTCCTCATCTGGCAAAACACCATTCTTTACGGTCTCAACCTGCCCGCCTCGTACCGCATGCACTGGTAGAAGAGCCGGCGGCATTGCGCTGCCATGAATTAAATGGCTAACGCACCCGAAACCCCTGCTTGGGTGGGCATCACCTTTCCTTCGTCCTGGTTAACTAGCTATTTTACCCCTAGGATGGATGATGCTGACATTAACGTATTTGACTCTATACAGGTCTTCACATCAACTACGCACATACAGCACCGCTGTGCACAGAAAAAAAATGATCGGAACGAAACGCTGGCATTGATATAGAAATAAGCTAAGCAGTCAACAAGTGTAGGACAGAGCGGGTAATTCGGAAAGATTTGGGGCTTTCGGGAAAATCATCGGCGGGGAGGAGGGAAAGACAATTTTGAAATATCGATGATCCGTTGTATCCATGCAAAGACCACATGGAGAAACCGGTGATCCGGTGTTGGGCAAGGTAGTGAAAGAATTTTCACCCACGCAGAAACCGCAAGGACCAACTCACGAATGCGAGGCAACGGAGGAAGTCAGAAATTTCAGAGGTTGAAATGGTCAGGACCGGTCCAGAGAACTGCTTCGAACTGGAGCAGACCATTTTGGAAATCCTGGACCGGACTGGACTGGACCAAATCATGACGGACCAGTCAGGACCGCATAACTTAACCTTAGAAAAATAATAGTAACCAAATCAATTTATTTATCTTTTCAGACCCGTTCTAGTCGAAACTTTCTTAGACTCACTTTTTCTCCACCCAACCACCTTGATATTGTAGGCAGAAAAGGGCTTTCTGAATGGACCAAATATTACTGGGTGGACCGGTCCATTTTCAGGCACGGACTAGACCGACTATTTACAGAAAATATTGACTCCGGACCAGAATGACCATTTAGTGGACCGGTCCGGACCGTATAACTCGCGGACCATATCAACCTCTGGTCAGAATCAGCGATCGAGAGAACCAGACAGTCATGAAGCTGCTCTGGACCACGCAAAGGATCAAGACGGCTTTGGGAACCTGGAAACAGTTCACCAAATGGCGACACGAAAGAGGAGGAAGAGACGAGGACAGAGAGGAGGAAGCCAGAGAAATGGAAATGGGCTGGGGTGGTCTGCGGGATAGCCCATAGTTCCACGAACAGTTCAGAAGTTACTTTTCTTATTTTTAAAGTCACTATTTCTTACATTCAGAAGTTACTTCCTTATTTTTATAAGTCACTATTTCTTACGTCTGGTACAAGCTACTAGTCTATTATTTTATGGTTATATTTTCTTTTCTTTTCTTTAAATAAGTGAGAGGCGGGGGAAGTATTTGGGAAGTTCTGGGGTAGTGTGATATTGTCATAGACTACGGTCTGTATACAATTAATGAATTAAACAAAAAGAAAAAAAAAAAGGACTAACTCACGAGTGGTAAGCAACCCGACCCTATGTACTGTAGAAACCCTAACCCTATATACGAGTGATAGTCCATGACAATGGTATTAGGACTAGCGTGGAATGGTGATTTTGGGGGGGGGGGGTGCGGGGTATGGCGCGATAGTGTGGTCTGGTGTGTTTGTACTGTCCGGTGGGCTTGGGCAATTTGATACGGTATGCTTAGTTTGTGCGTTGTGCAGGCGGTTGGTGGCGACAATCATGCCGGACGGACCGCGCGCGTACTAGGCTCGTACCCTAGCCCTTCCACCGGGAGGGGCTGGAGCTATTTCTTTCCGACTTTGATGAGATCCTTTGTTAGGGGTATTGAGGACTATCCGACGTCGGAATGGCTGTTGGGGCTCAATTTGCATGCAAAAAATAAAATTTCTAACTTCCGACATGAAAATTAAACTTTGTTCTGACCCCGATAGCACAATTCGGCCTCCTATATCGTACTTCGGCCTTCTATATCACATGTCGGACTCCTACATCATAATTCAGAGCCCAATATAGGAAAGGAGTGTCGGGTTTTTTCCCCGGCATTTGTCGGAAGGATAATGTTCCATCCCCTACTGGTGAGCAGCTTGCTGTTAGTAGGGGATAGGTACGTGACTAGTACATATCCTGGATAAAAGAAGGCTCGCTCTCTACTCTATCGCATAAACTGTCAATGTTGGCACCATTCATGTGGGATCGAAAGCCACAGCACAATTGGGTGAGTGATCAACAAAATACACAAAATCCATTGGCTCTAGCCACCTCTTGGCATTTCCGAAGGGGCGTCACCATGGTTTCGACGGTTTATGGGATACATATAGGCATATATCCCTACGAGGCGCCTTCTCATTTAACTGTCCCTTATTGGGCTAAAATCTTTCATAATTATTCCAGGAATGTATCGGAGTACTGGACAAGGTACCTGTACCTACTCTACATACTCTTACCTCTGTAGATTTGAGGGATCCGGAGTGAAACTGCATCTCCCAGTCCAGTACATTTAATCGTGCATGACAACCATATGCAGACCCAGTCCAATCGATCCTGAAACGCTATGAAACAAAGAGTATCCCTTGGTTCGCCGTGTAGATTCGGAACCCCAAAACTAGGCAGATTTAGACTATAGCCCTGAGATTTCTGCCCAGTTTGGTCCACGATCGATGGCGAAGCACTTCGCGCCTCGCCTCGAAGCAGATGCCTCGAGATGACACGAGGTATACCCTTCAACGAGGCCGATGTACCCCGATGCGTGGTATATTCCTCGAGTCGAGTCGAGTCAACTCAATATATACTCTTCAGGCTCCTAGAACAGAGATCCCGGGTGATCGAACCAGACAAGAACTATTGAGAACCTACTGCCAAGACCTCCCTCAAGGAGCTCGAGACAGCTCGCGCGAGGCATATATAGGTGTATATGGCTCGAGGCAACCCAAAACAGATCTCCTCGGCGCAGAGGCAGAGGTAACTCGATACACCCTATTCCTCGCCTCGGTGCGCTTTGTGGACCACACTGTTTCTGCCCGGAGGCAAAGTCACTGGGCCACAGTCTAAACCTGTCCTGTTTTGGGGGGTCCCGAATGTGAAGCTCTCACCAGGCCAAGGATAAAGCACCGGAGGCACCATTCTCAGCATGATGTTAATATAGATATTGATGTCTATTCTTTAAGGGTAAAAGCACACTCGCTAACCAATCAACTAAGGTCGAGAATACCTAGTTGCTATTCGACGACGGAAAAAGCACTCTTGCAGGATATCATCATTGAAAAACTCTGCATTATGACCTAGATCTGTCAAGGCGGACCGGGCCAAAAGCCACAGCGAAAGATCATTGGATTTGATATTGTATGCACTAGTATATATGGGGCGGTAAATGTGTCAAAAGTAATTTTACCAACGGTAGTAAATTATTTTACCACCGGTAGTGAAAATAATACCAGTATTTATACTGACCTCGTACCCAGTCTAGTATTTGTGGTTGCTATGCCAAGACCTTCTGCGAAAGTTGGCGCAACCAAATACCAGCCTGGTGCAACTCGTTTCCAAGGAGCTCAAGTGGTTTCCGGACAGCGTCCGGAACCCGTTAACGCATTCCGGTCCAGAAGGCACCCAGATATCTCGTGTTTTTGTCAAGTATGACTGCATCAGAATGTATAATACACATCGGATATCATCAATCTATATTTCTATTTAGTTCCGGACAATATTGAGGATTTTACAGCGCTATTTCAGTTCTCCAGGAACCCAAATTTGGTTCCCGTGACTGTCCGGAAACCTTTCGCCGTTCCGGTTCAATCTTGGCGTCTTGGCATTACATCTCCATACAAAAATTTCACGAGTCGCACCAGCCCCAAACTTTGGCTCGTAGAAAAATCACGTGACTGCCAAGAAGTTTGGGATGGGGTTGAGATCATATTTATACCTATAATCCTAATTTTTATGATAAAAGCACAGACCTTTTGACCAAAAGGGGCCATATAATGCCAATATATATGAAAATTGTCCATCGGTGGGGAATTTTACCACTGGTGGGAAATTTTCATAGGTTTTGGCATTAATGATTGAACATTTACTTATGTAGTATAGCGCAGCATAAAGACCGAAACCCAGTATTTATACCGGTGGGAAATGTACTAATGTAGGATAGCGTGCAGACACAATGACTGAAATCCAGTGCTTATACCATCGGTGGTAAATAATTTACTACCGTTGGTAAAATTACTTTTGACACATTTATCGCTCCATACTAGTACGTCACTCTTTCATCCCCCATGCAAAAGGATGAGAGAAGAACTCATTTTACCCGACTCAAAACTAGAGTACATGTATGGACTGAATTGATTCAGCAACGATCTAACAAACCAGAAAACAACAAATCATGCAGTCCACGATCTGAAGGAGTACTCCGTTTGCCTACTCAGCGAGTTCCGTGCTGAGCGAGTACTCTTTTAATTTGGCTATGGTCGATTGGCCGCTGGCGGCCAGCTTTTACGTACGGCGATAGGCAATACGTTATGGAGCGCTGGCCTGAGATACAGTTATACCTACAACAGCGTATGTTAGTAGCGTTTTACCCAGAACAGGTATCACTGTGTCTCAGGCCGTTCCATCACTTATTACCTACCGCTGTATGTAAAGCTCGCTAGTCATGAAAACTGAGTATATACATACCATGATCCTGCCTATAGATCCGGAGCTTAGTGATCAAAATCGAGATTTGCACTTGAAATGGATGACTTCCCGTGGGCGTTTAGAAGCGGTTTGGATGGAATTTAGAGCAATAAAATTTAGAAAGCAACCTTTCAGATTTTCAGATTCTAAACCGAGGGGGGAGGGCAAAAATCCGGAAGGGAGAAATATGATTGGTTGTAAGCTGCAACTTAGGGTTGGTTGCAACAACCTACCACGGGAAGGCGTTCTCATCCAGATTGAAAATCTAGCTTCTATATGTCAATTGGTATGGGGTTTTATCAACTCTGCAAATATGGCGATTGCGTCACTAACAACGAGGCCAGGCTGAGTAATATAAGACTGCGCATCCAGGTTTAATTTCTCTACCAGAACGAGATACTTATTTGAATGAATGAGTTATTGGTGTTTTCGGACACGATCTCTTGTAATGCAAAGTAAAGAACCGAGAACGTAGAGAATGTATTCTGTGAACTGATGAGTAGAAACAAAGGAGAGAGAGCGAAAGCTCTCTCTTTATAGTTACAATTTTAAAGGGCAAATTAATCACTTCTAATACAGAGATTTTGGAACAACGTCCAATTAGCCAAACTATCCCTTGGACGGATGCAAGTGGTCAAATTCGCGACCTGGACCGTGCGCTGAGCCAAGCTGTCTCAGGAGCTGTCTCAGCTCGACCTCAGCTGAGCGGCGAGGTAGGTAGGTAATGGACGTCCTCAACAGAGGAGGGCGAACAGCGGGCAGCGGACAGCGGACAGAACTTGATGAAGCAGTATGTCGGGATCAACTCCACCTATTCAACAGGAACCGGCCAGAAGTAGGTGTCGACGCCGAGCAAAGGCCTCAGGTTCCAGAGAGGGTCCAGAGGTGGAAAGCGTTCCTAATGCAGAGCCGGCATATCATCCACTGCCTAGGATTAATCACGAGGCAGAACCTTTGCTGCCCGATGGTGTATTGGTAATTCTCCTAAGTACGAGTGATTTAGTGTCTAGTCCTAATAGCAGATAGGATGCGGATACTTTACCTTTGGGGATATTTGAGCTTTTCTGGACTGATGAAGTGCTCGAGAGTCTGGCACAAAATACCAATGAGTATGCGAGGGTTCACAGAGCGGACAACACTCTCTATCCTCATAGGAGAAGGTGGCGACCTACAACTGCCCGAGAACTCCGAGTTTTTTTAGCTCTTCTGATAGCAATGGGAGTTTACCGATGCAAATCACCTGCAGATATTTGGAAGAGAAGAGCTGGTATTCGGATACATGTGCCAGTGTCGGGTTGGAGAATGCCTGTTTCTCGAGCTATGTCCAACAATAGGTTCTTTCAAATTAAGAGGTATTTGCATGTGTCGCCACCGGGCGATGTTGAGAATTGGTGGGAGAAGCTTGAGCCGTTGAATAGCAAAATGAGGGAGAATTGTATGAAATACTATCTGCCATCAACGTCAGTAACAGTTGATGAGATGATGATACGGTTTCGAGGACGGAGCAAACACACAGTACGCATGCCCAATAACCCAATTACGGAAG